CTCTCAGAAATAAATAAAACATTAAAAAAAAAGATTTAAACAAGCTAGGGCGTTCCTGCCTTGTGCCATTTACTGGGGTCTGAGCACTGATGGAGGTGAGGATGGAGCAGTGTGAGCCCTAGAGGTCTTCCCGGCAGAGGTGACACTGGACGAGTCAGAAGGGGAGGAGGAGCTGTCCATCAGAGAGGACGATGAGCGTGCCCTGGGGTGTAAGCGGAGGCGGGGGGGTGGGGGTGCAGGGGGTGAAGGGCAGGTGAGCAGGTGGGTGCAACTCCCGGGTGCCCCCTCACCCAGGGGTGGGGAGCAGAGTGGACTGTTGGGAGGTGCAGCGCTGAGCCCGCGTGGCCAGCCCTCTCAGGCCCAGCTTGCCGTGTGCCCCAGGTACTTCCGCAGCCTCAAGGAGTGTTCCCAGGGCGCCGGGCCCGTTCTCACCGCAGGGGGACAAACTGGCTTCCCAGGGACCAGCTCACCCACCCTCGGACAGGGCAGCGGGGGTCATCAGTCCCGCACACCATGGGTGGGTCCCGCCCAACACGGAGCTGGTCCATGTAGAGTGTTCCGGAAGGTCAGGCAGACAAGTATCCTTCTGTCAAGTTAGGCCCTTCCTACATATTTTTTCATTGAAATGTCTCTTCTGTGATGTTCCTAAGTGTCCCCAACACCTACCAAGGGGGTGGCCTTCGCTACCCCCGGCTGAGCCCCTGCGTGCAGCCCTCACAGGAGCAGCCTGGCAGCGAGGGGCCCGTGCTCCAGGGGGCATCAGTACGCACACCCGTGCTTGGTTTCGGCCATTGCCAGACAGAGGGGGCTGGTCAGGCTGCGCCGCTCCATTTCACGGATTAACTGTGTGACGCAGGCCGGACAGCTGTGCTCTGAGCAGGCTTCAGACAGTTCCCTGAAGCAGGACGGGTCGGAAACAGTGTTCCCCAGAGCACCAGGCTTCCGGAGCGTTCCGGAGACCCCAGTGTGCCCGGCGGCGGCAGCTGCATGTGTGGATACACACGCATCTCTAGGAATGTTAGTCCAGAAACCACTTAGCTCTGTCTCCAGATGACAGTCTTGTAGCCATCACACCATGCATGTCCCTGCGTCAGCCAAGGTCAGCCCCAGAAAATAAACTATTTTGTTTCAGTGTCTTAGAAACTTACTACAACCCTTCTAGGATGACTGATTTACTAAATTACAAAAAAGATGTTATTTTGTAGCTTTCATCCCAAATCCTCTGTCTAGTTACCTGTTTTTTTACGTATATTTTTGAGAGAGAGAGGGAGACAGAGCGTGAGCAGGGGAGGGACAGAGAGAGAGGGAGACACAGAATGTGAAGCAGCTCCAGGCTCTGAGCTGTCAGCACAGAGCCCGACGCGGGGCTCGAACCCACGAACCCTGAGATCATGACCTGAGCCAAAGTCAGATGCTCAACCAACTGAGGCCCCCAGGCGCCCCTAGTTACCTCTGTTTGTTTTTAAAATATAACTTTACTGTTAGTATTTCCCCAGCTCACAGTTCAGAGAGTTGATTCCAACCTGGAGAAGGCTTAATTACTGCTCTTTGGGTTCAGAATATGTGCTTGTGTAGATGGTTGATGCCTTCTCAGCCACCAGGACCTTACGGCTGCTGCTCCATGCGTCCCTGTTAAAGAAGCCGGAGACCAAAGCAGAGAGGAGCGGGAGTGGGGGGAGGGGGGGAGTGTTTTCACGGGTCTGGAGCGTCCCCAGAGAAGCTGGTGCCACAGGGTCAGGGACCCCGGGACAGCTCTGGGTGAGCGAAATCACCAGGGGGCTCAGCTTCGTCTCACAAGTTCAAAGTATGGTCCTCACAGCAGACCCGCCTGGAGGAGAAATGAGGGTGATAAAAGTTTTAAAATTTAGAAAAGATGACTCACTGTCGCCTCTGCAGGGAGACTTTTAAGGAGCTTTCCTTAAATAGTGGCGGCCAGTTTCCCAGAGGCTGGGACAGGTTGGCGCAGCCCTCTCGTCGACAGGTGACCCAGAACTGCCAGCGGGCTCCGACCTTCGGTGCCGTTCCTCTGAGTCGTTTCTGTTCCACTCGGAGGAGCCAACCTGCGTGAGTGCCGCCGGGACACCGGGGACCAGGTGCCCTGCTCGGGGGCTGCTTCCGCCCACTCCCCTTGGGGCCGTGCCGTGGGCACCTGGCACAGAGCTGGATGGCAGACGAGCACGGGCCACACGAGGCCACCCTGTTGGGGCGCCCCAGGCCCCCCGTGAACGAGGCTGAACATGGAGGCTGTGGGCAGGTGGGCAGCGCCGGACACGGCTCTCAGCACCTCCCTGCCCACGAGCCACGGACACTCAGCAGGCACCTGTCCCTGGGGGCGGTGCAGATGCCCACCCGGGGGCCGCACGTGGCTGAGCGTGAGCACCGGAGGCTCAGGGGCACCAGGCCAGACACACAACGTGGGGTCACCAGTGAGGGGCGGGTCCCGTGTGCCAGTCCTGGAGGTGGAGGAGGAGCCGCGAGGGAGGGCAAGCAGCTTGCTGTGGCCCGCGGGCGGTGTCACGCAGTGGGACCGGGTCATATGGCTGCCACACCACTTCCAGGCGGCCAGGGGCAGGGCCACCTGAGAAGGGTCACTGGTCATTGGTGGCCTAGGGTCATGGGGAATTTGTGTGTTGGGGGGAAATTTGTGTGCTGAAGGGCGCGAACCTGATGCGAGGCAGGGGACAGGTGGGCTTGCTCGGGGGGACTGAGGACCTCCGGGGCCAGGGGGCATCCGGGCAGGAAGCATGGCGCTATAGGCTGGGCCCTGTGGGGGGCCCTGAGCAGGGCAGGACTGAGGTCAGGGAGGCCACTGCGGCCGGCTCTGGGCTCTGGTTTGTTTGCAGGGTTGAGGAAGTCTCTAGAAGGTTTGCACAGGATGGTGTCATGACACAGTGGACATATTAGAAGGGTCACGGTGGCCCTTCTGCGGAGAGTCGGCTCAGGGCAGTGGTGGGGGGCGGGGTGAGGAGCAGGGAGGCCAGGAATAGAATCTGGGGTGCTGGCGGGGGCATCTGGGAGAACTCTGGGTGTGGGCACTGGCCTGGGCCACATCAATGCTCCGGACCCACACCTCGGTCCAGGCCCTTCTGTTCTCGCCCGGTCAGGTGGCGTCAGACGCTCCAGAGGCTCAGTCAGTGCAGATCCACCCTTGGGGCCTTGGGGGTGAGGCCAGGCCCCCACGTTCAGCTGTTTGGACCTGGTGCCACGAAGGCCCATTGGGCCGGGGGCAGAGCTGTCCGAGGTCCTGACACGATGGCACTTCTCCGGGGACGCCCCAGGCCGGTGAGACCAGCTGGATCAGACACTCCACGGGGCCATGGGGTCTGAGGGCCGTGTGGGGTGGGCCGTCCAGGGCGGAACACGCAGGGAGAGGGGCCACACTCAGACAGCCACAGCCCTGGACCACGTGTCTTCTCGAGGCCACCAGAGCCTCACAAAGACTGGAAGTGTTTTATGTTCTCAGACGAGGCCCTCGGGTACCTTTTGGTCCCTGAGTTTTGTTAGACCAGAGTTCGCGGACGCCGGGATGGGCTTGGTCAGGAGGAGGCGCCGGGCTCCCTCCCACCAGGGCAGCTCCACTGTGGGCTCCGCGCCCTCGGCCTCCATTCCGCCGGCCAGGCTGAGATCGGCATGGACACCAGAGCGTGGCCTGGGGTGTGGCTGCCGCCTGAGCGTCCGTCGGCGGGTGGACACGTAAAGAAGAGGCGGAGACACGTGGATGCAGGAGGTACAGAGCGAGGTGCGTACACAGCCACACACCCCAGCCAGTGGTCTCTCCCGCCGCACCCCTTCCTGCCCCTCCGATGTGGGGCCTGGGGCTCTGCTGCTCCTTCCTGTACCTCGTGTTTTAGCTGCACTGGGCCTGGGTATCCAGAAATCAAACTCGGTTCCTTCAGAATGTCTTCTTGTAGTAATGGGGGCTCCCTGGGGGGATACTTGTCAGCATCTGGAAGTAAAGGGCACCTGGAGGAGACTCAGAATCTGTCGTGCCAAGCCGGTGAGGCTTCGTGCAAGCACCATGAGGCGCATTAGGAGTGCGCTGGAGAACACGCCGGTTTGTCCCCATTTACACATGGAAATAGAGGCACAGGGAGGCAAGCAATGTGCCCGAGGTGTGTGACCCAGGCAGAGCTGGCAGCCAAAGAGACTCCTGTACCTGTGTCTTCGGTGCGTGCGCCGGGGTGTGGGGTCCCGGTCCGTGTTCCAGGAGCGCGGCTCTGTGTCTAGGGCACATGCGCCGGGGCGTGGGGTCCCGGTCCGTGTTCCAGGAGCGCGGCTGTGTCTAGGGCGCGTGCGCCGGGGCGTGGGGTCCGCGTCCGTGTTCCAGGAGCGCGGCTCTATGACTATATGGCTTTGTTTTTATTTGACAAGCGCCGTAGTTCCCTGGGACTCTGGAACAAAGGGCCACAGACTGAGGGGCTGGAAGCAACAGAGTCTCACAGTCTGGAGCCCGAGGTCCGAGGTGGATGGGCCCACAGCTTGGTTCCTGGGGCCACGGGGGAGAACCTGTCCCTGTCCCCAGCGTCTGGGGGTGTCCGGTGGTCTCTGGAGCCCCTTGGATTATAGACACATCACCCGTCTCTGCGTCCGTGTTCGCACGGCATCTCCCTGTGTGTCTGGGCCAAGTGGCTCCTTTCTCTAAGGACCAGGCATATTGGTTTGGGGGCCGCACTGATGACCTCACGTACGTAACGGACTTTTCTCCAGTCACAGCCTGAGGCACTGTGGTTTGGGCTTCAACCCATGACCTGGCGGGACACCTCACAGCCTGTAACTAGCGTAGTAAGTTTTGGCTTTACAGCTGACAGCCGCCGTGACGTAGCCGCAGACACAGCGTGACTTTCCCCTGTTAGGAAGTGGGCCGTGTCCAACAGCCCGGCGTCAGCCACCACTCGGCCTCAGGGCGGCGCCCTCCCGCCTGGGCCGCACCGGCAGCGGCCGGCGTGCGAGGACCCCGCGTCCAGCGGCGCGGCTGCCCACGGCCCTCTGTTCCCTTGCAGGCGTCCTTCCCGGCCAGCCTCCAGCTCGTCCTTGTCCTGCGCCCGACGGGGTTCTTCCAAAGGGCTCTCTCCGACCTCGCTTTCAGATTCAACAGAGAAGACTTTAAGATGAAGGTGCCGGTGAGTACGGCCTGCGGCGGCTCTGCGGGCAGAAGGGAGTGTGACTGCGCCCTTGGCCCCCGGGCGCTGATCGAATCCTCCAGGTGCTGAGGCCAGCGCCCGAGGCTTCCCAGGGCACACGGCGGCCCGCCGGGCACGGCTGTCTTCGCGCTGCCCCTCCGTTCCCTAGCGCTTCCCAAGGCTGACATCGCCCTGTCCCTCGGATGATCACTGTGGACGTGCAGGCGCTCGTCAGAGCTACAAGTCTAGAACATTCTTACTGAGGGTCAGGCCGCAGAACAAGACAGTCCAACAGACTGAGAGCTTCCTGGTAAGGGATGGCCAGGCGCTGCCAGTGCCAGGGACAGGACAGGGGCCCGGGGACCAGGTGTGGTGTGTCCCTGAGCCATCGCCAGCCTCCTGGTGAGGGGCACCCAGGCGCTGCCAGTGCCAGGGACAGGACAGGGGCCTGGGGACTGGGTGTGCATGTCCCTGGGCCCACAGATGGGGCCCAGGCAGCCAGCAGTGAGGGCAGCCAGCCCCTGTCTGCCATCCTCACCCCAGCGGCGCAGGCAGCCTTGGGGAGGGCACTCCCTGCCACCAGCCACCTGCCCTCAAGAAAACAAAAGCCCCTTAGAGCCCCTCACACCCGTGTTCCCGGGAAGCCTGCTCCGTGAAGCCTGCCAGCCGCATCACACCAGGCACTGTGGGAGCGGCACCGGGCAGGCTGCTGGATGGCGCCCAGTGCCTTCATTGTCCATGAATTCATTTGCACACGAGCCCCTGGCTTGTGACCTCGCCGCCGCCGCCTCCCAGGTCGGGTTTGCAGACCTGAGCGGCCGTGATGGTGGTTGTCTGTGACGCCTTTACCTGTTCCTCGGTGCACGGGTGGCCGGTGCTCTGTCTGGTCAGGGGCCCTGATGAGGCGTCCCTGGGCCTCGTGGGTAAGTCTCACGCTGCAGCCCCAGTCCACGGGCTTCAGGGCCTTGGAGAAAACCCCTCACCCAGTGTGTCTGCCGCACTGAAACGCCTTCATTTCTGACAGCAGTTTCCTTGATGGTGAAGGACAAAACCATGGACACACTGGCTGGAGGGTGTGGCCCAGCACTGAAACCACCAGGCTGTGGGGCCTGTGCTCCCTCCTGGACCCCGTCTCCGACGGCCAGCTCTCAGCCTGGGGGAGCGTGACAGCCCTGTCCAGCCACTGGGCACACGAACCTCATTAACCACAGGCCTCTGTGCAGACGTGTGCGGGGAAGCCAGATGGGGGTGCCCTCAGGGCAGGGGTACCCCGCAATCAGCGAGTTCTCACAGGACCCTCGCCCATTCACGGAGACCCCTGTTAGATGACTGTAAAGCTGTCAAAAACATCGTCCCAAGAATGCCTTTGTCACAGTGTGTTCACGTTAGCAAAACGGCACATTTCCATGCTGTGTGCTGACAGTGTGCTGCGCAGAAGACGGTAGGCGCTCCGGATTCCGCTGAGACGCCAGAGTCGCAGGGAAGGTGGCCCAGCCGGCCCGTGTCCCCCGGTCAGGAAGCAGGGTTGTCTGGGAGCACATGGACAGTCCTGCTAGAGCAGAAGAGGGACAGGCGAGCTCTTTGCCGAGACCTGCCGGCCACCTCCGAGGACGTCTCAGCTTCTCACGGGAGGACCGTGGCGCCTGGATCTCAGCATTGGCGCCGTGGCCAGCGTGGGCTGGCTTGTCCTCTGGGGCGGGACTGCCCTGCGGGGGTGGGCTTTAGCGGCACCCCCTCATCATGACAATCAGAAGTGAGTCCTGACATTGTCTCGTGTTCCGTGGGGTCAGACCGCCCTGGCAAGAACCCCCGCTTTGAGCTAACACGGTGTTCAATACACACAGTATGGCGTTCGGTGACCATGACCCTCAGGGTGGCCGTGGGCCCCCTCCCACCACAAGGTGCCACGTTCAGTGACCCATGACCCTCAGGGGGGCCGAGGACCCCTTCCGGCCAGAGCCTCTCAGGACCCGGCTTGCAGCCTGGGAGCTCCTGGAAGCTTTCACAGCCAAGGCTGTGTTTTCTCCAAAACCCACGGACAGAACGTCCTCAGAAAGGGCGAGAGAAATAGACCAATAAAAGCAAGTCCTGTGCGAAGAGCTTCCTCGGTCCCTGCAGCCGCGTGTCCCAAGGAAAGGCATGGCCCTGACTCTGGTGGCATCTGTAGTGACCTTGCTGGGTTCTGGTGGGAACAAAACGTCTTCTCTCAAGTCAGAGTGCTGCTCAGCTTCCGCCACAAACTCCCTGCCAGGCACCCAGCATGGGCCGTGTGCCCCCCTCCCGCCAGGGTTCCGACTCCTTTCCTCCGTGCTGAGGTCTGTCATCACAGGCCCAGTTCACGAAGGGGGAAACTGAGGCACAGAGAGACTAAGTGACTTGCCTCATGCCCAGCAGCCTGGAAGTGGTAGAGCTGGGATTTAAGCCCAGGTCCAAAGCCAGGCGCCTCCTGACCATGCTGCCACCATTAGTGGCCAGCGGGCGAGTCTGCTGGGTGGTGTCTTCAGGGGGCGGCTTTCCTTCTCCTCTAGGTCATAATGCTGAGCTCAGTCCCAGAGTTACACGGTTACATCGACAAGTCCCAGCTGACTGAGGACCTGGGCGGGACCCTGGATTACTGCCACACGAGGTGGCTGTGTCACCGCACAGTGAGTCGTCCCGGGCTGCCTGCACGCGGGCGCTGGCTGCGGGCGGTGGGCCTCCCAATCCTGAGTTAATCTGAATAGCTTTTGTATTACGACGCTGCCTTTTCCAAAGCCATGTTCCCAATAACCTCAGTTTTGTTCTCCGAGAATGAGGAGATGGTCTCAGTGGAACTCAGTGAACTAAAGAAATAACATGAGTAATAAGTTTGGGAGTGGCTTTCTCTGGGCTCAGAGGCCAAAAAGAAAGAACAGCCCTGGAGGTGGCAGATGTGGCCCTCCGGCTTCTCTTAACTGGGGCAGAGACCGGGGCAGAATGACCCTGGCTGATGAAAGTGAACCTAGAGAGTGGCCAGTGCGTTTCTGAAGCCGTGAGGCCCGGAACCTGCTCTAGGTGTGGAGGTGTGCTGTGGTCCTGGCCTCTCCGATGACGCCAAGCCCCCCCTCCCCCCCCCCCGGCACTGGACACCTGCTCCGGGCGCGGCGTGGTGATGGCGTCTTCCTTCCTCCCCAGGCGATTGAAAGTTTCGCCCTCATGGTCAAGCAGACGGCTCAGATGCTGCAGTCCTTCGGGACCGAGCTGGCCGAGACGGAGCTGCCCAATGACGTCCAGTCAACGAGCTCGGTGCTCTGCGCGCACACGGAGAAGAAGGACAAGGCGAAGGTACGTGTGACTGCTGTGCGGGCCACGCAGGGGAAGCCGCATCGTGCACAGCCGAGCGGGGGCCGTGTCAGAGTGGTCCCTGGGTGCAGCCCCGCCCGAGAAGCTGCGTCCCTTTCGCTCTTGGACGTGAGGACGCTGCGGGATCAGGCACACAGAGGCCTGGCTCCTGTTACCGCTTGCCTCGTCCCACCGACCCCGAGTGACCCCTAGCCTGAGCTTCGCCCTGGCCCACACCTGCGTCTCCGGGGGCTGCGAGGGAGGCGAGGGAGACACGGGAGCGAGCCAGGCGCCCGGCCTGTGCCGTCCCTGCAGGAGGACATGCGGTCGGCCCTGGACAAAGGACAGAGCCTCCTGGAAAACATCAGGGAGCCTCTGGCCAAGAGCGGGGAGCACGGCCTGAACCAGGGCCAGCTGGACAATCAGACCACAGTGCAGAGGTGAGCACCCGGGCCGGGGGCAGAGCGCCTGACGGGAAGCGGGGGGCCACGGGTCCTCACCGCTGAACAGCGAGTGGCTGTTCTGCGGAGGAAGATCGCTCACAGCGACCAGTCTGTGTTTGCAAGCTGGGGACGCTGAAGGGAGCCAGTGGTGACAGGGACTTGCCAATCTCACGGAGCCCTCGCCCCTCCCCGCCTGCCCAGCCCCTCCCACCACGTGGGTGTGCCCCCGAGATCCGCCAGCTCCACACTTGGGACTCAGGGCTTCTCTCCTTGGTGTGCACGCCCTCCCGGGGCCTCAGCTGTGTGGACACCTGCTGTCCCCAGCACTACGTGGTGCCCGGAACGCCCACGGCTCCACACAGAGGCCAGGTCCTCTTTGGGGGGGAGCTGAGCACGGGTGCGGAGCCACTGGCCAGCCTACCGGTGACACCCGGCCCACCACAGGCTGACCCAGGCCCAGGTTCACACGCCAGGAAGGTGCTCCGTGCCGAGGAGGGGAGAGGCCCTGGGGGACATGCCCCCCCCGTGGGGATGTGACGTCACGTACGGGAGAGGCTGGAGAGAACCCCAGTGCTCACGGGGGGCACGGGGTGGCACAGGCTCTGGCCTGGGAGCTGTGACAGTGAATGGTGACAGCTCGCTGCGCCCTTCATCCGGAAATGAAGTCAGACGTGAGAAGCACGGAGCACTGCCACTCCAGCCTCGTAACACACTCAGCCCCCCGCTCTGCCCCCAAAATGCATCCCGTGGCACAGCCGGCCCTGCGAGTGCTGTGTCCAGGGCCCGAGAGAGGCGGCGAGGGTCGGGGCAGCCCTGGAGGCAGCCGGCTCCCTGTGCCTGGCACCCGCTCAAACGGAGCCCCCCGCCCCCTAGGCTGCTGGCCCAGCTGAACGAGACCGAGGCTGCCTTAGACGAGTTCTGGGCCAGGCATCAGCAAAGGCTCCAGCAGTGTTTGCAGCTCCGGCACTTCGAGCAGGACTTCCGAGAGGTGAGTGGTGGCGCTGGGGGCGCCTGGCGCTCCAGCCACAGGAAGCCGCCGCGAGCTGAGCCGCCCTGGTGACGGGGGCGCCACATGGGACTAGACCGGGTGGGACTAGACCTTGAAACACGTGGCCAGCGAGTCATGGCACACGCAGGTTACCAGGCTCCGTGGGTGTGCGCTTCCTTCCGCGCTCCCCGCAGATGCGTCGGGAGCCATCTGCACGCTCCCTCACCCGGCGTGCACCTGCCTGCCGCGTGCGTCCCGGGTCCCGTCCCGCCCGGAGAGGGACGCACAGTCCTGGCATCAGGACTTGGCAGATCAGCACGCGGAGATGTCCGTGCCCTGCCCCCCCACAGAACAGCGTCTTCCCTGGGCCCTCTGCTCAGGCGGGAGGGGTGGGGTCTTGAGGGCCCCCGGCCCAGCACTGTGGCTGTCGCAGGGCCGTGTGCAAAGGCAGGTTCCGACACCACCCCCTCCCCCCGAGTCCTGGGATTCGCCTTTCCGCGACCCTGGGACTGGCTCAGTAGCGCGGGAGCCCGGGAGGGCACAGCCAGCCTCCCTGACTTGGAGAGAAGCATCCCGCCAGCCTCCGGGAACAGCACGCCGCAGGAGCACCCGCGGAAGGCGCTCCTCCATGACCTACTTCCGGAGGGGCCGAGGAAGGCTCGCCACACAGGATTTTTGTTTAGGGGTAGTTGTCGGTTTGCGCGCAGCTGTGAAATAACCCACCAAGACCTCATGCAGCCGACACCGGGTTCCCCCAGAAGCCACAGCGTGAAAACAGTGCGCAGGATCTCAGTGTGGACACTGACACACTCGGACCACAGAACATTCTGTCCCGCACAGACCCGTGTTTCCTTCTTACAGACATACCTCCCTCCCACCACCCCAGACGGCACCCCTCCTGAGCCCCCATCCCCTCCCACCCCTCCCCCTCCTGAGCCCTGAACCCCTCCCCCTCCTGAGCCCCCATCCTCTCTTGAACTTTTATCCCCTACTCTCTCTCCCTCCTGAGTCCCCATCCCTTCCTGAACCCCTGGTAACCACTGATCTGCTCCCTGTTTCCATATGCTATCATGTCAAGAATGTTCTAGAAGTGGAGTCATGGATACTTAGCTTCCTGGCTCTTTTCACACAGCTCCATCTGTCATATTCTCTGGAGACCGATGCAGGCATTGGTGGGTTCACTCTTGTTCCCACCGTGTGGTTAGTGTTCTGGGGACGTGTTCCTCTATCCACTTTCCTGGGAAGGACCTGGCTCTTCCCCCCTCCCTCCTCTCCTGCTTTGGGCAGGCCCTCCACACCTGACATGGGCCCGCCCCCCCCCGCCCCTCCTGTGTTCCAGGTCAAAGCCTCCTTAGACGCGCTGGCCCAGAAGATAGCGACCTTCACCGACGTGGGCAACAGCCTGGCCCACGCAGGGCACCTCCTGAAGGACCTCGCCAGCTTCGAGGAGAAGTCCAGCGTAAGGACTGCGGCGCGGACACCAGCGGGGTCCCTTGGGAGGGCGTGGGAACGGAGCCGTGGGGCCATCCAGTGGAGATGTCCAGGGGTGGAGGGACCGAGCCCCTCCCACCCACACCCCCCCCCATGCCGGGCCCCGCCCAGGACGCCAAGTGAGCTCGCTCTGACAAACGCAAGCCGAGCCGTGGGTGGGTGGCTCGCACACAGGCGTCTGTGGAGCGGGCGCGCGCACTGGCGCTGGAGGGCGAGCAGCTCATCGGCAGCAAGCACTACGCCGTGGACTCCATCCGCCCCAAGTGCCGTGAGCTGCAGCACTTGTGCGACCGGTTCGCCGCGGAGGTCGGGAGGAGGAGGGGGCTCCTCGGCAAGTCCCTGGAGCTGCACAGCCTCCTGGAGGCGGTAAGACCCCGCCCCACGCCCCCCAGCCCATGCCACCCGCCGCGCCCACGTGGACTGCCCTGCCACCTGTGGGCCTTTCTTGAGGCCCAACCAGTCCGCGGTGCCTGTTTCCAGAACCCACTTGCCACAGCTGACAGATCTTTCCAAGGACCAGAAATTCCCTGCACTTGGCCCCTCTGTGCTCTGTGTGAGCGCGTGGCCCTGGGGAGCCGGGCCGCAGACGTTCCGGAAGCGCCGCGGCCGCCGGTGGGGCGGGAGGGCGCGGGCCCAGCACACTAACTGCACACGCGCGGAGACCCAGCCTCTGACGGTGCCGCTCTCTTCTGCCACGCTCGGCGTGTCCAGTCCCTGAAGTGGTGTGATGAGGGGATCTACCTGCTGGCCTCTCAGCCTGTGGACAAGTGCCAGTCCCAGGAAGGCGCTGAGGCGGCCCTCCAGGAAATCGAGAAGTTTCTGGAGACGGGCGCAGAAAACAAGATCCAGGAGCTCGACAAAATCTACCAGGACTACGAATCCATCCTCACCACAGACCTGATGGTAAGCGGGGCCTGTGCCCGTGGTGGCGGCCTCCGGCCTGAGCTCTCACAGGACCCTGGGGCTCGTGAGGTGCAGCTGCCCTTTCAGCACAGAGTTCCGTCACCAGGGGGCCTCCTGCCCCGGGCTCTTTCCCTGCAAGACCACCGCTGAGGGCGCCCTCCCCACTCCCCCAGTGCCCCGCCTCCTGCGTGCCCCCTGCGCATTGCACTAACCCCGGCCCCATTGCCACCCAGCCAGCTACCTGCACCTCCAGGGTGCCCGCAGCCAGGGGACATATGGGGGCCACGCGTCCCTCCCTTCCAGCTGACCCTCCTCAGACTGCTGGTCCCACTTCCCCCGAGTCCCACCCCTCCCTCCTGCGGGGGGGGGGGAGGAGGGCTGGGGAGGGGGCCAGGTGCAGGGTTGTGCTGGGGTGGGGGTGGGGATGTGCGAGGGAGTGCAGGGCTGCGCTGGGGCTGCTGGTGGCGGCCAGCCCTGAAGGAGGACGAGCCTCTCACTTGCTGGCGTGGCTTGCTCACGAGCCGCACACTGCCGCCTTCAGGAGCACGTGCAGAAGGTCTTCCAGAAGCAGGAGGGCATGGAGGAGATGTTCCACCGGAGACAGGCCAGCCTGAAGAAGCTGGCGGCCAAGCAGATGCGGCCCGTGCAGCCGGTGGCCCCCCGGCCAGAGGCGCTCTCCAAGTCGCCCTGCCCCTCCCCAGGTGTGCGCGGCTACCACCCCTCCCGTCCGGTGGGCCCTCGCCCAGTTTGTCAAGTTTGATGGGCGCTGGGCCAGTGTGTGCCAGATGGTTGGGGCAGAGGGGGCGTGGCCCGTGGACTGGAACGTCTCCTGGCTGTCGAGGGGCTTTTCCCCGACTCCAGTCTCTGCCCCACCCTGTCTGTCCTCAGTGCTGCTGCCGTAATAGTTCTCCTTCCACACCTCTGACCGCAGCCCAGAGCCCCCGCGGCAGCGGCCCCCATGGGCTCCTCGGAGCCCCCCCTGCAGCGGCACCTGCCCGCCGTCCACTTGAGAGCGTTGGCAAGTGGGCCGCGAGCTGGTGAGACCCCTGGAGAGCCGCCCTCACCCGTCACCGGCTGCAGCCTGGGGCACCCTTCAGAGGCGACTTGTCCCCTGCCTCAGTGGCGTCCGGGCCCCTTGTGTTCGTGGACTCTGCTAGCCCGGGCGGCCCTCCATCTTCCCGCTCACCTGTCTCCGCCTGCTCTCCTCTTTCCCCGGGTTTTCTCTGCTTTCCCCGCCCTTCTCCGGGGGGCTTGCTCCTTTTCTCTCTGAAAATTAAAGATGACAACCCGGGTGCTCCCAGGCCGCCTCTCCTCTGCAGGCAGTCAGGTGCGAAGCCTCACTTTGCTCCTCCGTTTCTTCCCAAACCAGGCAGCCGGAGAGGCTCTGAGAACAGTTCCGAGGGCAGCGTGCTCCGGAGAGGGCCCTACAGGAGGGCCAAGGTGAGGCTGCGGTCCAGGCCCCCCACAGCCGCCCGCCCTCGCGGTCCAGCCCCCCCCACAGCCGCCCGCCCTCGCGGTCCAGCCCCCCCCACAGCCGCCCGCCCTCGCGGTCCAGCCCCCCCCACAGCCGCCCGCCCTCGCGGTCCAGCCCCCCCCACAGCCGCCCGCCCTCGCGGTCCAGCCCCCCCCACAGCCGCCCGCCCTCGCGGTCCAGCCCCGCCGGGCTCCCCTCCGCCCGCCTGTGCCGTGGGACCTCAGATCCCTCCCCAGACGGGAAACGAGGCGGGGCTCCTTGAAGTCAGGACGTCAGGCTGTGTCTTCTGGTGTCTGAACGCTCGATGCCCCTCGTGCCCTCTCCCCCCAGAGTGAAATGAGCGAGAGCAGGCAGGGCCGGGGCAGCTCCGCGGGGGACGAGGAGGAGAGCCTGGCCATCTTGCGGAGGTGAGTGGCTCCGGTCCAGATGCGGCAGCTGCGACTCTGTCGGATCTCCGCCCCTGGCCACGGAGAGGCTGAGTCTAAGCAAGCCTGAGCTGGGGGGCCAGTCAGCTCTGCCCCAAAGCTGGCGTCACGGCGTGGACACCCGTGCGCCGCGCTGCCAACACATGTGGGGTCCACACCCGGAACCAGGCCTCAGCTGGCCTCCCCTGGAAAAGCCTGTTGTCCCAGGTGCACACGCGAGAGCTGGGATTTGAAGCGGCTCGTGTCCCCCTTTCTCAAGCCCCAGGTGACGCGGCTGATTCAACAGACAGGCACGTAGCAGTGCTGACCGCCCCTGGCCAGCTCCGTCCCTCCTCAAGGGCTGCACCCATGTGCTGGCGCCCTCTCTTCTCTCCCACCCACCCCTGCTCCCAAGGGTCTTCTCTCTGTGCTTCTTCCTGCTCTCACCTTTTCTCTGCTGTCTGTGCCCCTGCCCACAGGCATGTGATGAACGAGCTCTTAGACACGGAACGGGTGTATGTGGAAGAGCTGCTTTGTGTCCTGGAGGTGAGCCTGCAGGGGTGGGGGGGTTGTGTCCTGGAGGTGAGCCGGAGGGGTGGGGCTGTGTCCTGGAGGTGGGTCTGCAGGGGTGAGGGGGGTTGTGTCCTGGAGGTGAGTCTGCAGGGGTGGGGGGGTTGTATCCTGGAGGTGAGCCTGCAGGGGTCGGGGGGTGGACGGGGCTCTGTGTCCCGGAGGTGAGCCTGCAGGGGGGCGGAGGGGCACTCTGGGACCTGTGGCCCTGCCCACCCACACAGCAAGGGTGCGAGGACGGGGAGACTGAGGGGCAGCGGCTGAGGGACCGGCTCCGCGAGCCTGGCAGGGGCGAGGTGGGAGGCTGCATGTGACTCCCTCACAGGAGGAGCTGAGCCGTCTGGGTCTGGGTGGAGCCGCAGAGTGGAGGTCCCCGGATACTGTTGCCAGCAGGGCAGGGAGCTTCTGGGCCCTGGAACGTTCCAGATCTTGGTCTGGGTAGGGGTTCCAGAGGCGTAGACGTTGAAACGGGTCATCGAGGAGTACACCCAAAATTTCTCCCCTGCGTACAAGTTTCGTGAATCCTCAGGTAGCAGGATGGAACCCCCCAACCCGAAGGTGCCGTTCGTCCCTCACGCACGTTGGTCGGCACCTGCTGCCAGGTGGTCGTCCCACCAATGGCCAGTGAATAAATCCCGACGGACTCACTTTCTAAAACCCAAGACTTGCCCGCCCCCTCACGGGCCTCCCTTGGAGCCCGTGGCGGAGGCCACGTCCCGACCCCTCCCCTCCATGCAGGGCTATGCGGCAGAGCTGGACAACCCGCTCATGGCGCACCTCGTCTCGCCCGGCCTCCAAATGAAGAAGGACATTTTGTTCGGAAACATGGAAGAGATTTACCACTTCCACAACAGGTCAGGCCCTCCCCTGCTCACCCCTGCTGGGCACAGTCTGCCTCCAGAGCCTCCCCTGCAGCGAGCCGGAACAGCGGGCTGGTGCACACGCCGCCAGGCCGGGAGAGGCCTGGTTCCCCGCCCGCCAGCAGAGGCCGGTCCGCTGGGCGTGAGCACCGGGCCCTCCGGGGCGGCCTCCCAGCCGCAGCAGCCCAGCCTGGCGCATTTCGTTCCCAAGCCCGCTGTTGGACAGGAGCGACGGCAGACGCTCCATCCTGCCCTTCTCCCCTCGTGAGCGCCGTCCGCGGCTGCCGTGGCTCCGGGGGCTGCACGGGGCCCTTCCGCAGCTGCCGGCCCTGGCTCCTCGCTGCGGTTTGTGGGGGCTTGCGGGGCAGGACGTGAGGAAGTGGACACAGGGTGCACGTGGAGGGGGCAGTCGGACGGCGCGGCCCCCCTCCTCTGGGCTTCTAGGGGCGCTCGGCACTTGTGTCTGACCGACCACATGCTTTCGCCCCTCGGCCACTAGCATCTGTCAGCCACTGGTTCACAGAGGAGGCACCGGTCTGCAGCAAAGGAGGCACCCGTCGGTGGCCTGGGCCCTCAGTGTTCTCGCTCACCAGGCCTCGGCACTGGGCCCCTTCAGAGCTGAGCCACGGTGCTAGTGCTGTGAACTGACCCCAGGGAGCTTTCCCTCCCGGCAGGATTCACCCCAAGCTCAGGCTGTGCTCCCCGGGAGGGTCCCTGCGGCGGAACTACCTGGCTGTGGGCGGGTCTTCACAGCTGGGCCTTGTCCGTCTGTCTGCTCAAAAGGAACTGTCCTGAGGTCTGTGTGAACACCGATACCAGAAACACGAAGGGACCCATGAAGGGACCATGGGTGCTTAACCCGAGAGCTTGCTGCAGCCAGGACCCAGGGGTGACCCGTGAGGGCTGCAGACTGTCCAGACTCGGAGATGAGAGTCATCTGGAAACTAGTTGATTTGTTACAGGGAGCATCTTCTTTGGGTTGCTCATCACATGACCTAATGCAAACTTTCTTTGTCTAGAATATTCCTGAGGGAGCTGGAAAACTACACTGACTGCCCAGAGCTGGTTGGAAGGTGTTTTCTGGAACGGGTATGTGCTCGTTCAGTGTGCGCTCGACAGTGCCTTACTTGTGAAAATAATAATGACTTTAACGTTTGTTTATTTTTGAGAGAGACAGAGCGTGAGTGGGGGAGGGGCAGAGAGAGAGGGAGACACAGACTCCGAAGCAGCTCCAGGCTCTGAGCTGTCAGCACAGAGCCCACACGGGGCTCGAACTCACCAACCATGAGATCGTGACCTGAGCTGAAGCTGGACACTTAACCGACTGAGCCCCCAGGCACCCCAATAATGAGTTTAAACCCAGTCACAGTCTCCTTCTAACCAACCGAAATGACACAGTTTCAGTGTGTTCCCAGTTTGCCTGAGATGATGTGGTACTTTCTGGAAGGACTAAAGAATATTTTTTTCTTAAGTCCAAAAAGTTCAAAACAGGGAAAACTATAAGACACCAGCTTTTCTATACGCCAGGGTTATGAAGCGTCCACCTTGACTGCACACGTTACCCGGAGCTGAACTTTCTCCAGCTGGCGCATGTGCCGCGTCTGGTTTTTCCCTGGTCGCCCCCACGCCCCCCGTACGAAGGAGCAGGTGTGGGACGGGTCGCCGCATGTTTCTCCCCTGGAATGGTGGGCGGCCCCTCCTTCCAGGCTGGCAGAAGCGGCGGGAGAGGACCGGGTGTCCCCTGAGTCCAGCTCTGCACACGGCTCGCTGAGCAGCGTGGAAGATGTAGCAAAAGTGAAGCCCTTTTCACAAAATGACGTAGAGACTAAGATGCGTCCCTGCGAGCTGGGGCCCCTCAGGCGGAAGGAGGAAGGGGCTGCATTTGTGCTCCCACCCCGCCTGGTCACCGGGGACGCTCCTGGGTGCTGTTTGAGAATTGGGGTGGCGGGTTCACACTGTAGGCCAGTGGTTCTCACAGGGGCCCGTGGCCGGCAGCGTCAGCCTCCCGGGATCTTCCTGGGAATGCAGGTTCTCAGGTCCCAGCTGCACCTCCCAGAGCAGAACCTGTAGTACGGCTCCGTGTCCTAACAGAGCCACAGGCGGGCCCGGTACGCACGCAGGTTCGCGCACAAGCCCCGCGCCTCCTTTCCCTGGAAGGTTGGCCCGCGCTTTCAGTCTGTCACCCTCACGGCACAAAGCCATCCGCGTGGTGCTAACATGCGTGAGTGGCGACTCAGGACTAATGCAGCCCTGAGCGGTGACCCCCGGTGGGGCCGATGCAGCACGCGCAATATCGGGGCGGGGAGGGGGTCCTGAGCGGTGACCCCTGGTGGGGCTGACGCAGCGTGCGCGGTGCGGGGAAGCACAGGGCCGCCGGGTGGCACCCCGTGACGTGCGCTCCGTCCCCGGCCCAGATGGAGGAGTTCCAGATCTACGAGAAGTACTGCCAGAACAAGCCTCGCTCTGAGAGCCTGTGGAGACAGTGCTCCGACTGCCCATTCTTCCAGGTGTGTGGGGACCCCCGGCGGGCATGCGGGCTCCTCCCTCGCTGACTGTCGCAGGGCAGCGGGCAGCCTCTGCACAGTGGTTTCTGGGACTTGCAGGAATGCCAGAGGAAGCTGGACCACAAGCTCAGTCTCGACTCCTACCTGCTGAAGCCGGTACAGAGAATCACCAAGTACCAGCTGCTGCTCAAGGTGACCTGCCACGCCCTCCCGGCCCCCACCCCCGCCGGGGCCCTGGCTCCTCACAGACCTGTAGGGGGGCTCACTGGCCATCATGGGGGGGCGGGTTCCGGGGACACAGAGGTGAACAGGTGGGCAGACTTGGAGCACACACTGGCCCTGGCCTGTGCGCCCACATGTGGGCATCCCGGCCTGAGTGCACCAGCCCCTGGACATGAAGGGCACGTCCCACGTTTGGGGGTGCCCGGTCGGGGAGGGAAGAGTAAACGGGTCTAGGGGCAGGAAGGCATGAGCTGCACCAGAGGCCTCCCCCGTCCAGGCCCCGCCCACTGGCTCAGGACTATTGGGAGAGAGGCTCTGGGCCATGGGCGTCGAGGGCAGCTTCCCGAGCCGAGCTGGCCTGGGGCCTGCACCCCGGGCAAACCCACCCCGCGGTCTCGTCTGCGGTGCCAGCTGCGCAGGGAGCCACGCCGCAGGTCCTGAGGGTCCATGCACGGGCACCCAGGGCGGAGCAGGGTGTCGGGTGCCCCGCGGGTGTGTGAACGAGGCCTCGTCCCCCAGGAGATGCTGAAATACAGCAAGAGCTGCGAGGGGGCCGAGGACCTACAGGAGGCGCTGAGCTCCATCCTGGGCATCCTCAAGGCCGTGAACGACTCCATGCACCTGATCGCCATCACGGGCTATGACGTAAGGGCCTCCCCATCCCGCCGACGAGCCTGCTGACAGTCTGCCCCCTGGGTGCACAGCGGGGCCCGGAACATTGCGTGCTGGTGTATCGCCTCCACTGGGGCGCATCTGGGGCGCACAGGGCCCGGCAGCCTTCACACCTCCTAGGTGCACATCAGCTCAGGGGCCTCGAGGGCCATGATACAGGGGGCGGTCTGGGTGCCAGGGTGCTGTAGGCTGGGGACTGGTGCCGGGTGGGCACGAAGGTCTGACCGTGCCCAAACTAGACACATCCGGTAACGTTTTTGTCTCTTTTCAAGTCTGTCCCTGCTCACTGTTTAGTTAATAGACTATGTTTAGAGCAGTGTCAGGGTCAGGGCAAGACTGGGGAACGTGTAGGGAGCTCCCACGTGCCCCCGTACCCACACGCCCCCCCATGCACAGCCTCCCACGCACCTCTGCACCCACACGGCCCCCACCCACACGGCCCCCACCCACACGCACAGCCTCCCACACACCCCTGCACCCACATGCCCCCCCACACGCACAGCCTCCCACGCACCCCTGCACCCACACCCCCCCACCCACATGCACAGCCTCCCATGCACCCCTGCACCCACATGCCCCCCCACACGCACAGCCTCCCATGCACCCCTGCACCCCCACACACCCCACCCCCATGCACAGCCTCCCGCATGCTTCTGTACCCACACGCTTCTGAATGAACACAACCCCGCACCCACACGCCCCTGCACCCACCTGCACAGCCTCCCACCCCCAGCAGATGGGACCTTCGTCCCAGTGGATGGGCCTCCGCCGGCTCCTCCTCAGCACCCAGGATCCAGCACGTGTGTCCCATGGGCTTGGGCAGCGTGGAGGGCCCGTCTCCCTGCCAGGAGGCCCCCGTGCTCGCCTGTCCACCCTCCCCGGCCCCTGCCCCCCCAAGTCGTGTCCCCTGGTTCTGCTTTCCCCAAGTGCTACGTAGCAGGGGCTACAGGACGCAGCCCCAGGGCGGGCAGCTTCCACTTGATGACACGCACATAAGGCCTCACGTTCATCCCGGCCTTAGGGGAACCTCAGCGACCTGGGGAGGCTGCTGATGCAGGGCTCCTTCAGCGTCTGGACTGACCACAAGAAGGGCCACGCCAAGGTGAAGGACCTGGCCCGGTTCAAGCCCATGCAGCGGCACCTCTTCCTGCACGAGAAGGCCGTGCTCTTCTGCAAGAAGAGGGAAGAGAACGGGGAGGGGTACGAGAAGGCCCCATCGTACAGCTACAAGCAGTCCCTGAACGTGAGTGAGCCTCTGTCCCCGCAGACAGTCGGCGACCGGGCCAGGTCCCCGCGGCCGTGGCCACGCTGCCCACCTTTGGGCCACTCTGATCTCTGGGTGTGGGGGTCCAGGACCCCGGGCATCCTCAGCCCCCACCCCAAAACCACTTCCCTCGCTTTGGGGACGCACTGCCACCTTTCAGGGGCAGGGGCCGGCTCTCACCCTGTACACTCACGAACCCGTCTCCCTGCTTGGCGCTGTCAGATGGCGGCTGTGGGCATAACCGAGAACGTGAAGGGCGATGGAAGGAAGTTTGAGATCTGGTACAACGCCCGGGAGGAGGTATACATCGTACAGGTAGGGTCGGCGACCCAGGGCCAGGCACTGGGGACATGTTAGAAAGGTTTGTGGCAAGAGCTGGTGTCTAGAATCTTCCGTGCAGCTTTAGCACCCAAAAGCCGTTTAGAGGTGCTGCCCTGGGCCGTCATTACCCTGAGCTGGGCGCAGGAGGTTAGGGTGATCTGAGGGCGTGGCCAGGAGCCTGGGCTCATAAGTGGCTGGCCGGCGCCCCGGGCCATGCTTACACACGTGACCGGTGGTGCGGACCAGAGGTGGGAGGCCATGAGTGTCCCCCCGAGCCTGGGTGGGCCCAGCGTCCTATGAAGGGGCACCCTACACACCCAGACACACCGGCAGCCCTGCGGGGCATGGTAGCCACGATGTGCTGTCACTGCCGCACACTAGCACTGCCAGGCCCTCAGCGATGACGTGGGCCTGCCTGGCACCAGCTGAAGCGCCAGCCCCGGAAACTGCCGGGACGGCGGCCGGCCTGCACCTCCAGCATCCAGCCGCCCATCTGTCACTCTCGCAGGCCGCACGCACTGTACCGAGGTGCACGGCAGCCTGCTCCCTATCCCTGGGAGTTGGGAGTCTACCTTCAGGCTTTCAGGCCCCCGCCGTCCATGTCACCTAGAACAGCACCATGGGCCACTTCCCAGAGAGATGTGCTCTCCACGGGCAGTCTGTGCCCAGAGTTTCCACTGAGTCAGACGCCGGCGAGGGTACAAAGCTGGTGGCCGGGCAGTCAGCCCACCGCCTGCGTGGCCCACAGACCCTTCCTGTCGTGCCCGTGTGGCAGTCCCCAGCAAGGGGACCGTTTCTCCTTCCCGTGGGGCAGAGCCCATGTTCTCAGTTCCCAGCATCGTTCTCAGAAGCTACCAGAGTAAAGGACGCAGTGGTGTCTTCAGGGCACCTGCATCCTTACCTCCTGGCCTTCCTCCCCGGCACAGGCGCCGACCCCGGAAGTTAAAGCGGCGTGGGTGAGCGAGATCCGCAAGGTGCTGACCGGCCAGCTGCAGGCCTGCAGAGGTAAGGGGTCTGCGGCCGCCGGAGCCCTCGGCTCCAGCCACGTTCTCACCCACGTGTCTCACTCACGTGTCGGCAGGAACCCCCAGGTTCCGGGCTTCGGAGGTGCCATGACGCTAGCGGTCGGGTCGTGCAGCGCGGGGTCTGTGTGTCCCTTCCCACAGAAGCCAGCCAGCACCGAGCCCTGGAGCAGTCCCACAGTCTGCCTCTGCCCGCGCAGCCCAGCACCAGGTGAGGGGCCGCAGGCGCCCACGGCCACGGGGCAGTGCCACCGCCTGCACTGGGCCCCTTCCCGGAGCCCCCTGGGCAGCTTGTCCTCTGGCACTACGTGCTGGTGACCGTGGCCCCGTGGGCCAGCTTCGAGGACAGGTGTCTCCAGCCCCACCTCTGGGTGCTGCTGGGGCAGGTGACAGCTGCCAGGTTTCCCTGACAGTTGCGTTTCAGACGTTGGCGCTGGGTGCCGAGGTGCAGAGCCACGCCCGCACTCACAGCTCATAGACACGCAAGCTTCGGGCACCGGCCCTCACGCTGCCTTCACGGGGCCTCTTCTGCCCTCAGTCTTCCTTTCTTCCCATGTTCGTGCATGGCTTCGTTACTTTATTTTTCTGTTTCTTCTATAAGCACCTCTGGTTGTCCGTGGGACAGGATGGGGGCTGAGTGAATAATCCGTAGAGCATGTTTGAAAAGAGAAAGATGCTCCTCCCCCCCCCCGCCAACTCAGAAAATCAGCAGCCATCTTGTAGTTAACAGGAAGAGGTGGATTTTGTTCTCATTGGGTTCCACTCGGTTAACCGGAAGTGTGCAGAAGGCAGCCCGGGGCCGGGTGGCTCTGCCTCGGATCCCCAGGGAGGCTGGAAGACTAACCGGGCAACGCCCTCCTCCTTTCTTCACTAGTCCCTCGAAAGGGAACACAAGAAACATCAAAAAGCTAGAAGAAAGGAAAACTGACCCCTTGAGCCTGGAAGGACGCATGAGCTCCGCGCAGCTGCCCAAGCCGCCCGAAGAGGGCAAAGGTGGGTGTCTGCCGCCGCGCAGGCACGTCCGGGACGCGCACACCTCCCAGAGCAGGGCCCGTGAGAGCTGGCGTGTGTCCCTGAGAGCCGCGGACGCCCCCACACCGTCCCTCTCTCTTCCTTTGTAGATGACACGGTCACTAGCTCTACCTCAGAGAGCTCTGCACTTTCCAAAAAGCGCTTTACTCTGCAGGGCTTTGCTACCCTCAAAGGTCAGAAAGGTAAAGGGCACCCGCCTCAGATCCATGCCCCAGACGTGTCACTCACCGTGGTGGCGTGGTTGTCATCCATTCGTGCGGTGATCATTCATGCGGACGGCCCAGCAGGGCGGCTGCGGCCATCGTCACCACGTGCAGCCGTTCAGAGCTTCGCCCGCTGCCCGCTCTCGACCCTGGCACTGGCGCATCTGTCGCACACGCGGCCAGAGTCCTCTTGTCGCGGGCCTTTTGTCTGAAAAGGCGGAGGCAGGCTTCTCTCGCAACCTCGCTCTCAAACCGCACCTGTCGTTTGCTTTCCTTTGCGCGTCCCCTCCCGCACCCCGTCCTGCCGCGGCTGGCGTCGGTGGCCCCCGAGGGCGCTCACTCGTTACTGCGCAGGCCACGCGAGGAGTCCTGGGGTGGGAGTCTCGGAGAGCTGGTCCGCCTCGCGGGGCTCCCAGGCCGTGAAGTGTGTGGAGGAAGTTACACGGCTTAGCTCGCGGAGCCCCGGCTGGGCCGCTACCGGGCTGCCTGCCTGACGCCAGAGCCAGTGCTGAGTCCAGGACTCTTTTCTCTCATCCAGAAAATTGGAGGATTTTTTTTGTTCCAACTCATAAGATACTTTTAAGTTGGCCTCATAATTTTTATTTTTAAAATCTTTTTTTCACATTTATTTGTTATTAAAAGAGAGAGAAAGAGACAGAGTGCAGGCGGGGAGGAGCAGAGAGAGGGAGACAGAATCTGAAGCAGCTCCAGGCTCTGAGTTGTCAGCACAGAGCCCAACGCAGGGCTCAAACCCAGTGAGATCATGACCTGAGCCGAAGTGGGACACTTAGCCGACTGAGCCCCCCAGGCACCCAGATCAAACATTTTTTTAAAAAAGGAGAAATGCATTCTGGTGCCATAAGTAGCCAAGCATGAAAAGTGCGTGCGCTACACACTTTTCTGCAGAGTTGAGATAACACAGCTACATGTAGCCTGCTAGACACCGATTGCCACGGTCAGCTTGCAGCCGGGTCTCCCCCCCCCCCATTCTCCGGGCCGCTCCTGTCACCCGCGGGGCCCCGTGGCCAGCTTCGTTCTGTGCACAGGAAGCCACTTCCTCAGCGGCGGGACCCAGCGGCTGGCGTGTGTTCCTGTCCCGCACACTCTGCTCACCCCCACACCCTGCACGCAGCCCCTCACTCTTCTGTCTGTTTTTGCCTCTTCCTCCTTCTGCAGCTTCTCCCACCAGTCCTGACAAAAAAGCTAAGCGACACGAAGTAAAGAGCGATCCAACGCCTTTTGGTTTACGAGGTAGAGTGTCAGCCTTCTGAACGCAGCCTGATGCCCGGTGCCCGTCCGCGCGCCCGCCCGGCTAGGAATGCCGTCCCCCTGGCGGGGCTCGACCCCCCAGGATGCAGAGCGCCATAGGTGTCTCCTAGGCAGAAGCACATTCCTTGTTTTCTTCCAAAGCGTGGCGCTCTGGCGACAGATCTGTGTGGCGTCGCCTTCTCAGGGGGACCCCTGCCGGGTCTGCCCGGAACCCGCCCAGTGGCCGCCGCTTATGGCTGCCGACGCCTGGCCGGCATTTGGGTTGGGCTGTTCCTTGGCAGCATTGCGGCCGCAGGCCTCCCCCGTCCGGGGCGCTGGCCGCTCCCTGGCTTCTTGGGGAAGCCCTGACCGTGCCAGCCGCGCATCTCACAGGGAGACGGCCAGCCTCACAGAAGGAGGGGCCATGCTTCACGCTGGGACTTGGGCCATTTCTTGCCCCCTCACATCACGAGGGTAAAGCACACCCCCAAAAACCCAAAGACCCCTGGCGCAGGCCGAGGGTCTGAGGTTTTCAGGGTTTCACTTTGTGAGCCGTCTGGAGTTCTCCAGCATCTGTGAAGGTTCCCAGGGTGCAGACTACAGCCCCCCAGTGTCCCCAAGTGTCAGAGGCCAGGGTGCCTCAGTGCACCCGCTCGGCCTTCACGGGGGCGCACGGTGCCCCGAGGCCTGGAACAGGGTCATTTCTCCCATGACAGCCCCGTTTCGTACCTAAGACCTGCAGACGCCTGCGCGTTGCCCTGGCAGAGTCCCCTTGTGCAGAGCTGGGGAAGGGGCTTCAGCCCTGCCCGCGGCCGCCCGCCCCCTTTCAGCCCGGTTGTGTCTCCTCACCTGTGACGGGAGGAGGCGGCGGCCTCAGGAGGTCACAGTAGATGCGGCCTGCGTGCAGCGCCTGGGGCCCAGCCACTAGCCCCCCTCCCCGCTCTCCCTGCTGCTTCCCGTCGCCCGGGCCCCCTCTGCCCCTCCCCCCCCCAGCCTGCCCTGAGGCAGGTGACCGTGAGCACAGGTCTCACAGATGCTTAGCCGCTTGTGCCTTGAAAAGTGTCACCTGCTCATCGTCTTACTCAGTGCCGCTATTGAGCTGTTTTGCAGAGGATACAGGTGACCCCACTCACAGTCACCTGGGCCTGATGTCCTACAGAATCCCACATGCACGCAGATCAAGTGAGTTGGTGACACTTGGCTTCCCTCTCCTGAGGCTGGTGCCTCGGGCCTCGGTACTTTCCTGTGTCCCCCGTCACACCATCTTGACCCGGGGACGCAGCTCTGGTAGAGAGGCTTCCCCAGAGACCTCTTGTGCCCACAGAGGGGAGCGAGCCCTCACACAAGTCCCGCTGCCCACGTGTAACCGGGAGCCGGTGTGCCCCGGCCACAGCCAGCAGGCAGCCCTCTCCCCTAGACCTGCCGGTCGCTTGCTGCCGAGCCCGGGGACACGGGGCCTGACGCTCCAGACTCACTTCGTGCTGGCGTTCACTGTGTGTGTTCAGAGCCCAGAATCCGACATCTCCTGTCAGCCCGCAATTTACCTGCATTCTCCCTGAAATGTCCCCCAAATGGGAAATACAGGTGCTACTCTTTGGGGCGGCAAAGCAGCAGAAACGCTAATGAAGGGATGTGTGTGCGTTTTACGAAGGCCCCAGAAAGACCTCTCCCGGCGTGTGCCGGCAGCCGAGCCCTGCGGCGGGAGCTCACGCAGGCCGCCCGGCGGGGAACCCAGCCTCACGGCGCGCAGAGGGGCTCAGAGGCACGGCTGGCGTCCGTGTGCGACGTCTGCCGGCCTGCGTCGTGAGGGCCACAGCGCCCCCGCCTCGTGGGCCAGGGGCCAGGACGCGCCGGCACAGGGCACACGCGGCACGCGCCCTGGCCCTGGTGTGGGGGGTGGTCCCGCAGGCGGTCGGCCAGGTGTTGCCCCGTCTCCGCGCTAACCGCAAACTCCTCCCCTTTGGTGGCAATCCCTCCAGCACAGGGACGGCGGCGCCTCAGGCTAGTGGTCACTCAGTGTGTCCCCAGGGGCCACAGGCAGGGGTGAAGCAGCAGGGCCTGGCGATGGAAGCAGCTGCTTCGGCCCCTCCCCCGACGGAGCACAGCTGAGACACACGTGTCAGCAGGCACGGCCCGTCGACGCCGCAGTCCCAGAAGGGGGCAGGCCCCCCAGGCAGCACGTGTAGGTAGCGGGAAGTGTGCAGACCTTCACGCAGTGAGGGTGGTCCTCACTGGGGCGCCTTCTCTCTCAGGTTGGAGCAAAACATCTCACCCCTCGGAGGCCCCTGAGGACGACGGCTGGTCAAGTGCCGAGGAGCTGATCAATTCCTCGGACGCGGAGGAGGAGGGCAGAGTGGGGCCCAGGAAGCTGGTAACCGTGGGTCCCACCTGGCAGTCAGCCCGGCCCCGCTGGCCCCTGGGCGGGGGAGCTTTGGAGGGCGACCACACTGGTGTCACGACGCCCTGGCCCCTGGGGGCGGATGTTAGGTGCCAGGGCCCCCCTGGGGTCGTGCACCTGCCCACCCACCCCCGGCCCCGTCGTCAGAACAGCCTCTTTCAGAGGGAACAGTGCACACACCTGATTACAGACTCTTGTTAGGAAGAGCCGTAAAGCAGCGCATTCAGCTCTCACTTTAGCTAGAGACCTGAAGCTTTAAGTACGGATTTTCCCCCTAATGTTTATTTTTGAGAGAGAGAGTGCGAGCAGGGGAGGGGCATAGAGAGAGGGAGACACAGATTCTGAAGCAGCTCCAGGCTGTCAGCACAGAGCCTGACCCAGGGCTTGAACCCACTTGAACTGAGATCATGACTTGAGCCACAGTCAGGTGCTTTACCGACTGAGCCCCCCAGATCTGCATTCTAAACGAGGCCGTCTAACACAAGCGGCAAGGAGAAGCTATTCACAGATCAAGTCACTAGAGTCTGGGTGACATTAACAGACACTTCGGGCACTTGGTGCTGCCCTCGTTCTAGCCTCAGAGCTTCGTCCGTATGTACGTGTGGAGCGTGGACTGGTGGCAGGCAGTGTCGAGGTACAAAAGACAAAGCAGAGAACAGAGCAGACAGGGAGCCCCACTCTCACAGGGAAGCAGAATAAAAGGAAGTGAGTACAGAGCGTATCAGGTGAAGATGACTGCCGTTTCCAGCGGGAGGCCTGAGCGGGAGGGCATTCCAGGAAGGAGGAGCAGCAGATGCAAAGGCCCAGGGGTAGAGGGCTACGTTAGGGGTATTTGAAGCCCACTGCTGCGGAGGGGCGGCCAGAGCACCAGGAGTGAGCCAAACGCACTTTGCACGTCGGTTAGGATTTGTAACCTGGTCATGGTGAGAGGCCTGCGGCATCCGCTTGCAATTAAGAGCTCTTTCCAACTTAAGGTGACAGTCACATCAAAAGCCTGACGAACAGCAGGGCGCTGACGACACGCTCCTTGTCCATCTCCTGTTGCTGGACGCTGGACGCCCATCTGGGACCTTCCCCACTGCTGCTCCGGCCTCGCTCTGCGCTTGGGGGTGGGGGGCGGACGTGCTGTTTGACGCCTGTGTCCTCTGCCGCCAGGCTCCAGGGAAGTACACGGTTGTGCTGGGTGAGGAGAAGGAGAGCCCCGAGGCGCTTGCCGTGAGAAGCGGGGACGTGGTGGAGGTGGTCCAGGAGGGGGACGAGGGCCTCTGGTAAGATGCCGCGGGCGGCGGCCCCAGGCCCGAGACCCTGGGGCAGGCGGGGCGCGGCTGGAGCCCCTGACCCCCGCCCCCCCGCGCCTTTCAGGTACGTCAGGAACCTGACCTCCAGCAAGGAGAGCTGGGTGCCGGCCAGCAGCCTGTGGGCGCTCCTCGGCTCGGCGGGCTCGGCCCGGTGCCTGAGCAGCTCAGGTAAGCCCCCCGCGCCGCGCCCCGGGCCCGCGGGGCCCGCAGCCCGGAGCCCGGGGGCGCGGGTGCGCAGCCGCGGCCGCAGCCCTTCTCGCCTGGTTTTCCCGCAGAGTCCAGCGCAGGGTCCGCGCTGCTGAGCGCCTCGTCCAGCTGCAGCGAGAGCTGCGGGGCCCCCCTCCCGGACCTGCAGGGGTAGCGCCGGGCCGCGCCGCGGACCTCAGTGCGCTCTGCTTGGGCTCAGGGTGCTGAGGGGCGAGGCGCGCCGAGGCCCCGGCGAGACCCGGCGAGGGGCCGCCCGCCGCCCACGCGACTTCGCGGTGCGGACACCGGGGCGCGGAGGAAACGTTCCGGAAGATTCTGTCCTCCGGCCTTCACGGCAGGACCCCCCCCCCCCCCCCCCCCCCCCCCCGACGAAGGCGGCCCGGAGACCCAGCGCGGACGGAGGGCAGCGGCCACCGCACGTGGGGGGCAGCTTCCCGAAGAAGCGGCGACCCGCCGACCCAGCCGCTTCGTGGGGGAGTTTGGATTTTTACAAGTTTTTTTTTTTTTAAAGCAGGGATTGATTCCATGGCCATTTTTTGTGGTACTTTGGCCTCTAATCTTTACCAAGAATCACTGTGTTTACATGAAGTGACAATTTGCTACTGTATTTGATAGAAGGCTATTTTCTGTTACTGGGGTGTACACTGCAGCGGCCGCTGGTACTGCGGGGCCCGGCGGGTGGACGCGCCCCTCCCCGGGCCCCGCCGCAGGAGGACCCGAGGGCAGCCCTGCACCCGCGCAGGGGAGTTTTCAAAAGAAAATGTAAACTAGGATTTAAAATATTTCGCCTCTTTTCTACAAGAATGGGGAACTTCATTTTTTAAGCCAGCCTCACTGAATTAGGATTTTTTATTGTTTTGAAAGACGATAAGGACGCAGCGTGCGCGGCGCACCCCCTGAGGCGACGCCCACACGGGGCTCCGCGCCGCCCCGCCCTCCGGAAAGCCCCCCGAACTCACAGACGTGCGGGGTGCGGGCCCCGCCGCCGAGACGAGGCGGAACTGGAGGGAAAACTTCCGGTTTCCCTGCTGGTGTCTCAGAAACGGATTCTGTTTCCGGAAACGCTTCGTGTCCCTGGGGGGGCGGGTCCCCTACGTGCGTGTGTGCGCGTGGGGGTCGCGCCGGGGACGCTCGGGGCCCCCGCGGTGCTGCGAAGCGTCCGGTTACAGCGTCCCTGGGCCCCGGGCCCGCGCGCCCCCCGCGCCCCCCGCCCGCGCCCCCCGCCCGCGCCCCCCGCGCGGCCACGCCCCTCCCGTCGTGAGCGCTTCCCAGAAAAGCACTTTAAAACCTCGTGTTTTAGTCATTGGGTTTTGTTTGGTTTCGGGTCTTTTTTTTATTGCCGATGTAAATGAAATTTAAAAAACCAGAGTTCTTTATCGTATGGATGGAATTTGAATAAACATCAGCCCCTCTTGCTGTCCGCCTCCCCCTGTGAAAGCCCCGAATTCTCAGCCCCGGAGCCCCGTTCCCGGGAGGCAGGTGGTGGGCGGGACCGACTGTGTCCCCCACGCTCCCCTTTGTCAGAAAACGATGGAAATAAAGTAACAAGCGCATTGTGTCAACGTTGTAGAGGTCACAAAGGAAGTGCAAAATCCCAGTGTGGGGACAGCGAAGGGTCCGCGGCGGAAGGGGTGTGGTGGGCAGGGGGTGAGGAGGGGGCGTGACCGGGGCAGGAACCCCGAGAATGGTGCTAAGCGGCCCTGCCAGGAGGATCAGATCGGATGCAGCACGAAATTCCCGGAAGACCCCGTGAAACAGACCCACACGAGGGCCGGAAGAAAGACCAGAACAGAGACTGTTACGTCCCCGACCTGCCGGGAGCCCCTCGCGCAGACCCCAGAGGCAGGGAGCCGATCCCCGTTACTGGGGTTGGCCGCTGGAGCGCCTGCCCCCCCCCCCCCCCGGCCACGCCGAAGGCGGGCGGTGGGGGAGGGGGCGGGGAGGGGTCCTGCTCACAGGGCTGCACAGATGTCCCTCTGTCCCTCTGTCCCGCCCAGGCACAGGGCCTGGGGTAGGGTTGCTCCGTACCCACGCTTGGCAGTCTTCCGTGGAGAAAAGGCCACTTGGAAGTGTCCGTGGGGAAGCGGTGCCTCAGCCACGTGCCCTGCTGGCCTGTGCTGCCCACCCCTCCCCAGGGGACCCACAGCACCCTCGGCCTCGAAGGCTTCAGTCCAGCATGTGTCCCGAATCCAGGCTGCCTGGCAAATCAGTTCCCCGCGGCTTTGGGCGGGCGGACGAGGAGCGTCCCTTCCCCACGCCTGCTGGCCGGTCGCCCCCTGAGTCCACGGCCAGACGCCAGGCACCCGGCTCTGAGAACAGCCCCGGCCGCGGCCCCGCTCCAGGGGAGCCACGAGCATCTGCTGACGGTGTCCCCTGGGTTCACACAGCCCGGGACCCCTGGATGCAGCCTTGCTCAGAAGCAGGACCCTCGCCGGTAGAATAGTTATGATGAGTCACTGGGGTGGGGGCCCTGACCCAGGGGTGGTGTCTCTGTAAGGAGAGAGAGATCGGGACGCACGCCCAGACCGGAGGCCGTGTGCCCGCCCAGGCAGACTGCAGTGCTGTGTCTGCAGGCAGGGCCCGGAGCCCCCCAGGACCCCCCAGCTGGAAGGCGCCGGCAGGCCCTCCCCCACAACCTCCGGAGAGAGAGCAAGGCCCTGCCGCAGACATCGTGCTCAAGGACCTATGGCCTCCAGAGCCAGCACGGTAGATTTCCGTCGGCGTGTGCAGCCCTGTCACGGGGCGGCCAGGAGTCAGGAAGGCGCTGAGCTCACAGGTGCCACGTGTGGACCGACACGGACCGGCAGCACCCCCACCCACTCGGAGGAGACGTCAGCCAGATGTAGGGGCGGGGGCTCCAGGCTGAGACACTTGTCCCCAAGCTGGGAGAGACGGAGCCAGCACGCCCCGCCGTCCGGGGACTCCCCGGAAGGCCGGGCACAGCTGTGGTGGGAAGTGGGGAGCCCCTCCCCCACCAACAGCGGCTCCCCAGCAGCCAGCGAGGGGGTCCACGAAACACGTTCTCCGGCAGAGACTGACTCTTGCAGTCAGGAGTGGAGCTGGGACCCCGCCTGAGAGCCCTGGCCCACGTGGCTCCCTCGCACGAGAGGGGCCGAGCGGGCATCCCAGTCTCCACCGTTTGCGGAAATGTTATTTCAGAGGGTCGAGGCCAGACCCCACCGGAGGCTGGATGCCCACGTGAGCCTTGTTGGGGTGACTGACGGTGCCAGGGGGCAAGGGAGGGGCCAGGTCGGCACAGGGGGGCCTGGAGGGTCACAGAGCGGGACTCAGCTCGGGGCAGGTGCCACTCACTCCCTGGCTCACCCAGGAAACCCGGTGGCCCCGGCAAGGAGGCCCTGTGTGGGTCTCGGCCGCAGCTCTCTTTCGAGAGTGCTCCCACCCGCACCGGAGCCGCCCTCGGAGGTACTCCCGCAGCCACAGCCTGCCACCAGCTTGGATCTGCGTCCCAACTGCACCCTCAGTCCCAAGAGCTTCAGGTTCTCAACCGCATCTGGGGGGCACATGCCAGATATACATCCCAACGCAGACGCCTCCGAGAAGGACGCCGGAATTCACGGACACAGCCGCCCGCCCCGCCCCTGGGTTTGGGAGGCCAGGCCTCTTCCCCACCCTCCAGATGGAGGCCAGGACTTTGCCCGCCCCCCCACCGCGCCTGGAATGTCAACAGACCGCACGACCCAGGCCTCGCCATGGTGTCCGGGCCCCGCGGGCTGGCCGTCCTCTGCTCTCTGCTCTGCCTGCAGGCGTCTCTGGCTGCAGGTATGTCAGGGCGGAGGGTCCCCGGTACCGCTGTGGGAGGGGCTCCAGGGAAAGGCAGCGGCGGGAAGTCGGGGCCAGGGCCGGAGGCCACAGGCCCACCGGCCCCGGCCAGAGGTGACTGGCTCCCTGAGAGCTTTTTGCTGCACATTTGCTGCCCGCTGCGGGTAGACGCTGCGCGGGTTGGTCGCCCAGGCAGGTCCCCACCCAGCGCTCTCCTCACCCACCCCTCCATTTGAGGTTCCCTCAACCTCTCTCTCCAGACTGGGCGGCTTCGCAGGAATCCAGACGTGAGATGCTGTCTCTGTAAAGAAGACATGGGGCCTCCCTCCCTGGTGGCCTGGGAGCTGCCCCTCCCTCTCCTGCCGTCCCCTCCTCCCCTGCCGCTCACCTCTCTCTCAGAGTCACACCCTACCCCCCCCCACCCCCCGTAGGCCGCCAGGGCACCTTCTAGCCATGCTAGCACTCCCGGTGAACGTCCCAGTGCAGGGGCGCGGTGCACAGAGTTGATCGTACACACTTTGAAACCGAGTAACTTTTAACCCTGGAGTATGTGCTCCCTCAGTCCATGACCTGAGCGTGTACGTATGCGCATGTTCGCTTTATTTGCAAAGAGGGATTCTACAGTATATGTTATCATCATCTTGTTTCATTTAATATTGCATCTTCTTAAGCGTGTACTTCATGGGACAGAGGACATCGTCACGTAGTGGCCTGACTGCCACGTCAGGTGTCTTTGTGGCCGGGTTTGTTAGGCTGAAGCCTAGAGGTGGGGCGGCCGGGCCAAAGCTACCGTGCGTCAAATTACAACAAAACCAACGTATTTCTTGTCGCGTTCCTCCCTGGGACACGACGTTCTGGGCGTGGCCAGCGGCGAAGGGCTCACGGGACCCGTGTGTCAGTCTTCCTCACGCAGGAGGAGGCCCACGGCGTCCTGCACAGGCGCAGGCGCGCCAACTCGTTCCTGGAGGAGCTGAGGACCGGCTCCCTGGAGAGGGAGTGCATGGAGGAGCAGTGCTCCTTCGAGGAGGCCAAGGAGATCTTCCAGAACGCCGAGAGGACGGTGAGTCCGCCGCCTGGAGTCCCCGGCGCCCTGCGTGTGCGGTGGCGAGGGCCCCGCGTGCCGTGTCCCGGGTCACGGCCCCAGAAGGGCGGCTCTCTTGTCAGTCAGGGCGCCGTCATTTCCAGCCGGAAAACGTGGTTTGAAAAGCAGGCTCCGTGTGTCCCCCGCCATCCCGTGGATGGTCCCCCTGCCCCCAAAGCGGCCCGTGATCCATGCAGGTGCTGCCGACCAAGCAGACGGGAGGGAGATTGGCCTGGGCGGCCTCTCTCTCGAGCGCAGCGTGTGTGAGCAAACGTGTAGGGGCCACGCTGCCCACGTGAGCCCGGAGGGAGCCGCCCACTGCTGTTCCCTCTCAGACAGAATATCCACACACGTCCCACTCCACTGGGGGTGTGGTTATGGGGGGACAAATCCACACTTCTCACGGGACTTCTCACGCTCACAGGACACCCACCTCACACTCACAAGACACTCACCTCACAGTCACAGGACACCAGCCTCACGCTCACAGGACACCCGCTTCACGCTCGCAGGACACCTGCCTCACACTCATAGGACACTCAGCTCACACTCACAGGACACCCGTCTCACACTCACAGGACACCTGCCTCACGTTCACAGGACACCCACCTCACACTCACAGGACACCCGCCTCACATTCACAAGACACTCACCTCATGCTCACAAGACACTCACCTCATGTTCACAGGACACCTGCTTCACACTCATAGGACACCCGCCTCACACTCAGAGGACACTCAGCTCACACTCACAGGACACCCGCCTCACACTCACAAGACATCTGCCTCACACAGGACACTTGCCTCACGTTCAGAGGAGACCAGCCTCACAATCACAGGACACCCACCTCACACAGGACACTCAGCTCACACTCACAGGACACCTACATCATACTCATAGGACACCAGCCTCACACAGGACACTTGCCTCACATTCAGAGGACACCCGCCTCACGCTCACAGGACACCTGCCTCACACTCACAGGACACCCGCCTCACGCTCACAGGACACCCACCCCACGCTCACAAGATACTCACCTCATGTTCACAGGACACCCGCCTCACACTCACAGGACACCTGCCTCACACTCACAGGATACCCGCCTCACACCCGCAGGACAGACATCTCACGCTCACAGGCAGCCCACACCAAACAGGAAGTAGGACTCTCTGAGGTGTTGGCTCACATGACCTTCTCCAGGCACACTGAGGACGGCCATTTCCTGCATTTGTGCCCCACTTGGTTTCTCAAGTCATTTCCCACGGTTGTCAGCTCATTTTATTCTCAGAGTGGTCCTGTGAGTTTGTTTGCTTGCCCAGAACATTCCTCAGGAATGAGCATTACTGGAGCCTTTGCATCTTTTACTGCCTTTTCCTCCTGCTGTCCCTGTGTGTGGATGGTCCGCCGGCACCAGAGGAGGAAACGGAGGCTCAGAGAGCACGTGTCCTGTCCCAGGGCCAAGTCTCGGAGGTGGCCGAAGAGGGGCAGGAACTGGGGAATTCTGAATCCAGAGAGGGAAACGTGTGACCTCTGGTGGCCTCGGCGATGTGGGGTGGAGGGGCCGGGAGTAGGAAAGCACCCCCTCGCCCTGGGTGAACTCACCTCATCTCCAGAGGAAAAATCTGGCTTCCAGAGCCCACCTCAGAGGGCACCAAGTCAGCAGCCCCCAGACCAGCACTGGTCACCCCAAATCCCCCATTCATTCTGGGGGTGCTACAGATATTTGTGAATGTGTGTCTCATGTGGCTTCCTCTCTGTCCCCTCAGAAGCAGTTCTGGATTTCTTACAACGGTGAGTAGGTGAACGGCCCGCCTCACCCCTGCCCGCCAGCCTCCCCGCAGCGCCCTGACCCTGGCTCGCCCTGCAGATGGGGACCAATGCGCCTCGAATCCGTGCCAGAATGGAGGCTCCTGTGAGGACCAGCTCCAGTCCTACCTCTGCTTCTGCCTCGATGATTTCAAGGGCCGGAACTGTGAGACAAGTGAGGACCCCACAGTTTGTGGGCAGAGCCCCCAGGAGGCTGATGGGCACGGCCTGGCAGGGCGCGGGCTGGGCCTCAGCCCCAGCGGGATATTGGGCTCAGTGACCTTGACAGGCTTGGATCTGAGACCGTCAGGTGCTAAATCTCAAACTTGATCACCCCTTGCCCACTTCTGGGAAAGACAAACCCCCTCGGATCCACCGGGACAGGCCCGGGGAGGGTGCCATGTCACTGCCCAGTGTCCAGCCCAGACAGTGGGTAAACTTCGTCTTCCCTACTTGCTATTACAAAAGCGTGAGATATTTTTTCACCGTTCCGATATTAAAATACTGTGAAGTTGAGGGGTTCCTCGGGCCGTCCCAGGGACAATAATTGGCAGGGGGGACCCACAGCACCCTCTGAAGGCCAACGTACTCAAAGTTACGGTGGACGGATACAGATTAAAGCCAACACAGGGGCAGGTGTGGATTTCCAGGTGTCCTCTGCAGACACTCATTCCTTCTCCAAGAGCAAGGTGTGGCGAGGCTTCGGGAGAACCGCCAGCCCAGTGGGCACACGTGCCTCCACACCTGGGCGTCTTCCTGGGGCTCAGCACATACACTGACCTTAGTCTCCAGGCCTCCAGAGGTCAGGGTGACACTATGTGGCCCAGGACCCCACATTGTTACACCATCTAGCACGGCCCAAGGCCCCCAGGGAAACAACATTCTTATCAGACAGATAAAATTAAGTGTCCAGCTTGATCAGCGAGGGTGTGGAGGTCGCCTCCCAGGAGCTGAGGGCGAAGGCAAATCTCTCTTTGGGTGACTTCAATCCCTTACCGCCTAGTGTACATTCCGACACTGCAGGAGCTCATGTGGGCCACAGCCACCTTGTGCTCCAAGCAAACCAGAGGCCAGGGAGGGAAGGAGAGAGGAAGGAGGATGCTTCTAGCCAGTTATCCAGGCCTACAAAGCCTCAGTGTCCTTGCCCGGCCCTTTATGCTTAGGAACCTTGGTATGAAGCCTCTAGGACCATGGTGCTCAGGAGCCCTGGTGTGAATCACCCAGGACCACATTACTCAGGAGCCCTGGCATGAATCACCCAGGACCACGGTGCTCAGGAGCCCTGGTGTGAATCACCCAGGACCACATTACTCAGGAGCCCTGGTGTGAATCACCCAGGACCACGGTGCTCAGCAGCCCTGGTGTGAATTCACTTCTGGGCCAGGCCTTCCCACTGGGGACCCTCAACTGGCACAGTGAGCTAACCCATCTCCCACATCATAGCACTGCCCTTCAGTGAACATCCGTCATCTCCATCTGTCTGAGTCAGTGGTCAGCCCCAGCCAGGTCACCGGGGCACCAGGGCCTGGCTACAGAACCATCTCACGTGCCTGGCCCCTTGCCAGCAGGTCTCCACTTGCGGTGGACACTTTTACTGTCCCCAGGCCCTCCCCAGCTCTCACCAGCTGCTGAGAGGGGAGCACAGAGGACCCATGTGTCAGCCCTGTGTCCCAACTGGCTAAGCTGCTCAGACGTGGGACCGCACACACTCCCAGGCCACCCTTCTGGATCAATCCAGAGCAGGCTGGTACCTGGCCGTCTATGCAGCCAGCAGCTAAGCACCACTTTCATGCAGAATGAGGGCTGGCTCTCCCTGACCAGCACAGGCCCCTCTCAGTCTGTCCCCTTCCTGTCCTCAGACAAAAAGGAGCAGCTGATCTGTATGAACGAGAACGGAGGCTGTGAGCAGTACTGCCACGACCACGCGGAGACTGGCCGCTCCTGCCGGTGCCACGAGGGGTATGCGCTCCAGGACGACGGGGTGTCCTGTGTGCCCACAGGTAACGGTCCTCGGGGGCCAGCTCTGGGCGCTGTGCTCTGGTTCCTTCCCAATGAGCCACCCATTCCTGCACGGCCGACAGATGACAAGGGTACCACTCACCGAACACCTACTACGTGATGACCACGCCTTGCCCACTCGAGAACAGGCCACAGCAGGAGCCACTCCAGAGCGGTTGGGCCACCCGCCTGTGGGAGGCAGGCCCGCCCACCCCGCCACTGTCCTGCCCACCCCCCTTCGCTGCCCTGCGGGGGGGCCCCACAACCCCACGCGGGGTCTGCACCGACTGCAGCATGGTCTGCATGCCATGGCTTTTTTAAAAAGGAAAGCACTTTTAGGAAAATGGACATTTTCCCCAGTCCAGTCTGGAACAAAGGCACTCCCAGCGGCTGGGGCGCCCACAGCCTGTCTGTGCAGAGTGAGGTGGGCCCCGCCCCCACTAGCACCAGAAGCTCAGCTCCCACCTCTAAACGGTGTCCCCTCCTGCCCGGGGACTTTACTGGGGAAGCCGGAGCGGGGTGAACACGGCAGCGCCCTTGCCCAAGGGCCGGTCGGCCGTCAGACAAGTGTCCATCTCCTTGGTCAGGCGGCATGTCGCTCCCCCGGGGAAATGGCCGAACTGGGTTTCAAGCAGGAGGGCCCTCTGCCCTGCACAGCTCCGGGGGGGGAGTGGGGGGCGCCCTGGCACACCCTGCCTGCAGGCCACGGAGCCCATCCCCCACGGCCTGACGGTCCGTTTCCTACAGTGGAGTATCCGTGTGGGAAAATACCCGTTCTGGAAAAGAGAAACGGCAGCGACCCCCGAGGCCGAATTGTGGGTGGCAAGGTGTGCCCCAAGGGAGAGTGTCCCTGGCAGGTAAGGCTCCAGGGCCCCCAGAGGGAAAGTGGGTGGTCGGCCGCAGGAGCCCGGCCCATCTCCTTCCTCCCGGTTGTGAAGCCCACGCCTGTGCCCTCCCCTCGGTCCGTCTGCCTGGGGTTCAGCACCCGGGCGGCACCTGCCCCCTGGCTCCCGTCCTGTCTCCTCCCGCCTCCTCCTCGGCTGCCGGCCTCTCCCCCCACCGCAGATGAGGGAGCCGAGGCCACCAGTGACAGATGGCAGAGGCAGGATCTGAACCCTATGCCTCTGGAAACTGAGGCAGGGCGGGCTGTCCCTGCACGTGCTCATGTGTGAAGGGCAGCCTGGGAGCCTGGTCCCCGTTGGAAATGCGGAGCCTCAGGCCCCCAGACCCATTGGGCCAAAATCAGCATCTCACAAGAGCCACATACGTGCACTCGGATGTCTGAGCCCGACCTGGCCATCCTCCAGACCCTTCCCGTGGGGACGCCCGGGTTCGACCGTTAAGAGTTGTTAACACAGTAGAGCCTTGGAGGGGACGTTGGAGGCTGACGTCCCCCTGGGCCTGGCTCCAGGCTGGCGGCAGCCCCAGTCCAGCTTTGCTGCCATCCCGTCCCGTGCAGACCAGCCTAGAAGCTGCAATTTTGGCTAGGCCGCTGTTCCCCCGCCCCGCAGGGCAGGGGGCAGGGCCTGCATGGCAGCTGTGCGGTCTGGGACCACTCCCCAGCAACCTGCAGGACCCCAGCTGCTGGCGGTCCAAGGGTCACGTAAGCTAGACACGTCCAAGCAGGACTGGTGCGTTCACCAGCGTGCCCGTGTGCGGTGGTGTGCGGCGGGGGGGCCACACAGGTGGGTCTCTGTGTGTCTGCAGCACACAGCACCCGGGAGGGCTCTCTGCGGGCAGAGGGAGCTGCAGCAAGCACGCGCCCCCCACATGTGCCCCAGGACCTCAACCCCAGGAGACAGGTGGGGAAACTGAGGCCCGCCGAGATCCAGGCTCCTATTCGGCTGCAACCAACCAGCACCCCAGGCCTCCCCTCATGGCTGTGGCTGCAGAGCCATGGTCAGCTGGGGCTGCAGGACCAGGTGCGATTTTCGGGCACCCGATGTCCCGTCTTCCACAGGCAGGGGCACAGCTCTGAGCCTGCAAGCACACGGGCAGATGTTTCTCCGAGGGCTGATGTTTGCTGGCTCGGGGGAGGAGGGGGCCCTTCCTGGCATCCTAGGGCCTGCTGTCCACACTCGGGACACCAGGCCTCCTCCGACCGGCCGACCCCCTGGTTGATCCGCCTCTCCACAGCACGTGGTGACCTCCCTCACCCTCGGCCGCGCCAACCTCTGGCCTTTCGGCTCCTCCCTGTCGCAGGCCGGCTGGCCACAGACTCGGGCTCCTTCTGCCCGCACTGCAAAAACCACTGCAGAGGAAGGGCCTGCCCCCAAGCTGCACTCGGGACCCGCCCAGCACCCTCCTCGCTTTTGGGGAGAAGGAAAGGAAGCACTTATGGGGCCCGCTGTGCCCCAAGAATTGTGCCTGGTGCCGCAGAACGCTCCCTCTTCCCCCCCACATGCCCTGGAGCACGACGCTTGGCCCATCTTTGCAGGCCTGGCGTGCCGGGGGTGTGCAGGGGGACCAGAACCCACGCTCCGCGGTCGGGCCGGCACCCATGAGCCCCACATTGCCTTAGCTGGCTGGGAAGGTGGCCACCAGGGCCCCGGGGGCACGGGAAAGGTGCGCCCTGCAGAGTTGTGACGCGACCTCTGTCCGCTGTGCCCGGCCAGGCTGCACTGAAGCTGGACGGCGTGCTGATATGCGGGGGCACCCTGCTCGACGCCGCCTGGGTGGTCTCTGCAGCCCACTGCTTCGACAAAATCAAGAACTGGGAGAACCTGACAGTCATACTGGGTGAGTTTCCTGGCTCCCAGCCTGCCGAGCGTGGCCAGTGTCTCCAAACAGAGAAGTGGGCAGTGTCCGGGCAGACCCCGCGCCACAGAGTCCCACTGTGGCCACGGCCCCCCAGCCTCTCCACCCACGTAAAGTCACGGAGGTGATGCTCTGCTCTACTCCCTTCTCGCTTAGGCCGAGAGCCCCCAGGTTGCCTGGTGGGCGATGGGATGCTGCGCGCCCTGGGGAGGGTCTGGGAAGACTGGGGGGATCAGACAGCCCTGCTCACGTGCTCTCAGGACCCCCAGATTCACCCAGATTTGCCCCGATTCACACTCCACACAGAGCCCTGCGGTGGCCGCCCGGGGGCGCCGCTCCCACCAGCCTGGGGCGGGGCACAGGGCCCCTGCCGCCGCAGAGGCAGGCCGTGGGGCCAGGTGTGAGCGGTGCGGGTCCCCCGCAGGCGAGCACGACCTCCGCGAGGAGGAAGGCGAGGAGCAGGAGCGGCACGTCGCCCAGGTCATCATCCCCAACAGGTACATCCCCCGCAAGACGAACCACGACATCGCCCTGCTGCGCCTGCGGACGCCCGTGGCCTTCACCGACCACGTGGTGCCCCTGTGTCTGCCCGAGAGGGCCTTCTCCGAGAGGACGCTGGCCTTCATCCGCTTCTCCACCGTCAGCGGCTGGGGCCTGCTGCTGGACAGGGGCGTCACGGCCCTGCAGCTCATGGCCATCGACGTGCCCCGGCTGATGACCCAGGACTGCCAGGAGCAGTCGCGCAGGAAGGCGGGCTCCCCGGCCGTCACCGAGAACATGTTCTGCGCCGGCTACCTGGACGGGAGCAAGGACGCTTGCAAGGGCGACAGCGGGGGCCCGCACGCCACCAAGTTCCAGGGCACCTGGTACCTGACGGGTGTCGTCAGCTGGGGGGAGGGCTGCGCGGCCGAGGGTCACTTCGGGGTGTACACCAGGGTCTCCCAGTACACCGAGTGGCTGCGCAGGCTCATGCGCTCCAGCCCCACCTCGAGCGGCCTCCTCCGGGCCCCGCTGCCCTAGCCTCAGCGCGGGGCCGCCGGAATAAAGCTGCCACCTGTCCCGCTCGAATCCGGAAACGCCCTGCTCTCCTTGAGTGGGGGAAGGGGGCGCAAGGCAGGCTGAGCGGGGTGTGCGGGGGGGGGGGGCACGGATGTGCCGGGCGGGGAGGGGAGGGGAGGATGGCTCCCCTGACTGTGTGCTCACATCCACGTGCTCACGCCTGCGTGCTCACGTAGGCACACACACATCAGCAAGCACACACCTGCATCCACACATTTGCGTGCTCACATCAGCACACACATCAGGGTGCACACACCTGCATCCACACATCGGCATGTGCACATCAGGGTGCACACACCGGCGTGCTCACACCAGTGTGTGCACATCAGCACACACACATCAACGTGCACACACCTGCGTGCTCACATCTTCACGTTCCATTCCTGTCTCTCTTGCACAAGCATCTTGCCTTCATTTCACATTCATAGGAAGCATCATCCATTCATCCTGATGACCATCCTTCCAGATCTTTCTGTGTTTGTAGCTTTGACCATAAAATGGGAGGCTGTCACCCCCCATATGGCGTTTGCCACTGGCCCGCCAGCGGGCGCGCCTCCTGAGGGCTGTCTGTGGCTGCCGGCCATGCGGGCGCCCCCGTCCTCACCCCGCTGAGGCCCTGGTGCTCGCCCTGGGGCAGCGCTCGCTCTCACACTCACAGCGCCCCTGAGATGGGCCTCCCTCCACGGAGGCTGGTTTTCAAAACCAAGTGCACGCCGACGGGTTTTGGAGGCTGTGGCTCCCCAAACTCTACAGAACTGGGCCAAGGCCCTGGTCAACAACGGTCCTCAATGAGGGGCCCGGGGAACCCCTGCCTGAGAGCCATCAGGTTCCTCAGTCCTGCCACATCAGGGGATCCGGGAAGGACCCAGTGAGTGACAGTTTTATCAAGTCCCTCAGGTGATGGTGGGGGGTCCCTCAGCCTAAAGCCACTAGGCCACGGAGGAGCGAGGAACAAGCCATCCAGTGGGGGAGGGAGATGGCATGGAAGTGGGGGCCCCTGAACACGGTGAGGTGGTAAGAGCCCCACCGCCTCTGGAGACACACTCACGGTGGCGGGGGGTGGGGGGGTGACTAGCCGCCGTCCCCTGGCCTGGGACCCCAGCAGTGCCCAACGCGGTGCATCTGGTGCTGGACTTGCCGGGCCGATGGGTCAAGCCATGTTAATGCAGAGTGACCCCGGGCCACCCGCCTGGTTTGTCAAGGGTTCTTGGGACACGCCCATTCCTTACCCGGCCTCCTCGGCTGCTCAAACCGCAGCACAGAGCCCCTGGGACAGAGACGGTCTGGCCACCTGTCCCCGGAGCTGGACGTGGTCACCGTCTGGGCCTTGACACAGAGGTTCACTGCCCAGCCGGGTCGCAGTCTCCGCAGCCCCCTGCGTCGGCCAGGCCGCCTCCCGCCCTGTGCCCGGGCTCCGCGCCGGCGACCGGGACGGTCTGGAGCCCGCACGACGGGAGCCGGGGACGGCTCGCTGTACCGTGGACGGCAGAGCCGGTCTGCCAGCCTCCGGCTTCCCCTGCCCCACAGCTCGGGCTGCGGGCACGGGGGGGAGTCCTGCGTCCGGAATCCGGGAGCGGCCAGGAGCCCGGGCCCGGGGAGCAGGGGCGGGCTGGCCCCTCTCCTGGAGGGAAGAGAGCAGGATGGGCTAACGGGCTGCTCCAGGAGCCCACCAGGCAGGCTCAGGGCGCCCTGGCCATCGGGGGAGACGCGGGCCCTGCCTGGAGAGCCGCCAGAGCGCGGGTGCCCGCTGACGTCGGGGCAGGCCCTAAAGGCAGCGGAGCTGATGTGCCCACGGGCTCCCACGTCACTCCCACCACCGGGCGCCAGGGGACAGGGACAGGCTCGCCCAGGACCCCGTCTCCCCCACATGCTGAACGCAGACAGAGAGGCCAGCGAGACGGGCCCAGGGCCGCCCCCTGTCCCGCAGGGCCAGGCTCTGCAGGTGAACGAGCCCCCTGGGAACGACCAGCCAGAGCAGGAGGCTTTCGGGACGTCACTGACTCGTTCGGTCCGGGAGGGTCTGCCCAGCACTTGCTGTGTGCCCCACAGCCCGCGGCGAACAAGTGGGCAGCACAGGCTTCTGTCCCAGCGCCATGGGCGCCGGAGGCCACTCGCCACGTGCAGAATGTCGGGTGCAGTGGGCGCCGTGGGGTACGGGCCGTGTCTCCATCCCTGCCTCCGGCTCCGGCTCCCCGTCTCTCTCTCTGTGTCTCTCTCTCCCTCTCTCTCTCTCCTTCTCTGTCCCTGTCTCTGTGTCCCTGTGTCCCCTCTCCGAGGGGCCCTGGCACGTGGCCCACAACCACCCCACGGCCTGGCTGCCATGGGCTGAGCCGCCTTGGGCTAACACAGACTTGAGCTATTTCCGGCGCCATCGTGTGTCCTGGGGGGGGACACGGCGCCTGGTCATGTGACCTCCCCGGGCGGGAGCCAAGCAGACAAGCCTCCCGCATCCTGTGTGCCGTGAGCTGGCCAGTGGCTCCGTGTTTCTCTTCACCTCCCCCTCCCGGGGGGCCAGACCGGCCTCTGTGTGAGAGAGACGTGGACTGGCTGTGAGGCCCCCTCCCCCCCGTGGGGTGTGCACCCCCGACCTCGGGCCAGGTGTCCTGGGCTGGCACTGGCTGCACCGGGCAGGAGCCTGTGGGCAGGAGCCCGCAGCCCAGAGGGGCCGACGCCCCTGCCTCCTGGAGCCCCCGGACTTCAGCGGGACTGACGTGCAGGCGAAGCCCGGGCACCAAGCCCCTCTGTGATGGTGGCACTTGGCGGAGCCCCCTGATGCCATCTGGAGACCGAGGCTGTGGGCAGAAGGGCCGCCGCTGTGGCCGACGGCCTCGGGTTCACAGCCCACGTGCGCCTGACGGCCTTGGGCTGACACCTGCTGTCCCCAAGCTCCTGTTCTGCAGGAAGGATGGGAAATGACACTGAGCTGGTGTCGTGGCCGAAAGACAAAATGACAGTAGACACAACATCTGGAAACTATGAAAGGACACTTTTATTCCCTTAAAACCCGCTGTGCCCGCGGCTGGCCCCTCGGGCCCGGAGCCCCCCAAGGCTGCATCTGCAGGGTGGCCCTCCCCGCGAGGTCAGCAGCCCCCAGCCCCTCCCCGGCCCAGGCTCCAATCAGGAGGCGCTGATAAGAGAAGGTCAGCCGGCCGGCGGGGGCGGGGGAGTGAACCTTGCCCTGGAGGCCTGTCACGGCGGGACAGACGCGCTGTCCTTGGCCACAGCATGGCGGGCCCGCTGCTCCTGGTCCTGCTCAGCACCTCGCTGGCCTGCCTCCTGCCGCCGGGGGACGGCGGTAAGTCCCTCCCCTGCGGACTGCAGGGTGACCCCCGGGTGCGGGGGGCAGTCGGGGCCAGAGTGATGCGCTCACACCCCCACAGTGCGTGACACGGCTGGGCCGGGTGGGTGGGCGCCAGACCGCAGGCCGGCGGTCACACACAGGAGCCCGTGCGGGGGGAAGAGGGAGAGACTGAGAGAGATGGAGAGAAGCGCCCTCCATGGCCAGAGCGAGCACGTGGGGGTCACCGGCAGAGAGGGGCGTCCACGGCCGAAGGAGAATGAGGCTCCAGCCGCCGCCTCCACCCTCAGGCCGGCTCGGCCAGGGGAGGGGCGCCGGGGGCGAGCGGGGCACCTGGTGTGCGGGGGACGAGGAGGCCGTGAGAAGAGAGAAAGGGGAGCACCCACGTGCAGCCGTGCCGGGGGGCGGGGGGCGGGTGAGGGTGCCCACAAAGAACAGGCTGGAGTCTGGCGTTGCTGGCGTGGCAGTGATGTCGCTAAAGGAAATGGGGGACACACAGGGAAAGCAATCTGAGCTGGGGTGGGGTTAACTGCTGAGCACCTAGTGTATACCAACCTGAACGCCAGGGCAACTGAGACGCACTTACCGTGACTGTCGTTGGCCCCCAGGGGCAGTAGGCGTGTGAACCTTAGCTGAAGCCAGACCGCCGGCTCCCGGGCCAGTTCTGCACCTGGGGAGCTGGCGCCCTGAGCTGGGGGCTCACCGCCGAGCGGAGGCGGGGTGGGGGGCGGACCTCAGGGTGCAGATCGCAAGCGGGGAGAGCAACTTGGAGGGCAGGGCAAGAAGGAAGGCAGAGAGAAGTGTGCAGGGCTGAGGAGGGTCCGGGGGTCCCCGTACACGGTGGAGAGGGAGCAGGGCAGAGAGAGACCAAGGTCACGGCCAGAGACGTGGGTGCAGCTGAGGAGGGTCCGGGGGTCCCCGTACACGGTGGAGAGGGAGCAGGGCGGAGAGAGACCAAGGTCACGGCCGGAGACGTGGGTGCGGCTGAGGAGGGTCCGGGGGTCCCCGTACACGGTGGAGAGGGAGCAGGGTGGGCGCAGCCGGAGGAGGGGTCCCAAGATGCTCGGACCCAAGACCTTCACGAGAGCGGGTGGGGACTCCTTGAGAGTCACAAATCAGTCCAGTGGGATTCTCCAGTGAAGTGGAACAAAAATCCGGTACAAAACTTTGTAGTAAGAACTATATCTTCAAAGTGCTGTTTGGCGTGTGTGTGTCCCGGGCCTTGACAAAAGGCGTATTTGGATTGTAGAGCATGATCACAATGGCACCACAGCTCACCCCTTCTGAGAGCTGAGAGCAGGAAAGGTGGGGGCCGGGCGGGGCACGGGGGCGGCCCCAGGCCCTCTGAGAAGGGAGAGTCCAGGGAGGGCCGGGCGGTGGGGGGGGGGTCGGGCAGCGAGAAGCCGCAGGGTGGGGCCCGGGAGGCGGTGGGATGGGGCGAGCTGACCTCCCCACGGAGGGCGTGAGGAAGGGGCCTTGGCGGCGCGGGGCTGAGGGGACAGGGCGGGCGGGCGGCTGAGGCCCCCTGGGCTCCGTGTCCCCGCCTGTGTGCTAGTGTTCCTGCCCCCGGAGCGCGCCCACAGCGTCCTGGGGAGGGTCCGCAGGGCAAACTCGTTCTTGGAAGAGGTGAAGAAAGGGAACCTGGAGAGAGAGTGTATGGAGGAGACGTGCTCGTTCGAGGAGGCCCGCGAAGTCTTCGAGGACACCGCCCAGACGGTA